CCTTTTAAGATAAAGCACCTTCAAGAAGCGAAGTGCAACATGCAGTGGGGTCCAAACATCCTGAACTGGAAGGCTTGCCAAGTCGCAACACACAGTTTCCAAGTCGCATGTTTGCCGAGTGCCTTTGCCCTTTACCATAAACCGTCGCAATGGACGAAGGGTTGTTCCAATTACAATCGGGGCCCACCAGGTAGTGTCAAGTCAAAACATAGCAGGCACACGGAGCTGATCAGGCCCTGCTTCCAGCACAAGTGGATGGCTTCGTTGCTAACAAGTTCCATGAAACCTCGGCAGACTACATTCGACTTTAAACTGCACATGCACACCCACCACGAGGAAATGGTAAGGAAGGAACAGGTTGATGAACGAAACGGGGATTTGGAAGGAAGTAACAGTACCGAGAAGTGATGCTTTTTGTCCCTGGGCAGGTGGTGACTCAGCAAATGCCAGGCTGGAAGTCTTAACCTTACGAGCAACATGAGTGCCATAGTGCCATAGGTGGAAAGGCCTGCTTGACAACAACCGTTGCATTGGTGTGCAACTCTAGCCTTCTAGTTGCATATGTGGTGCTGGTCGCCAAGTTGGGCCTACCGCAAGCAGCCGTGACAGGCTGTAGTGACAATAGCACCTCCTGCTCATCCGAGTCAGATCTGGAACTTGGGAAGGGCTTGGAATCATTATGGCTGCTTCTATGCACGCCACTTGGCGAAGAACCCGGGTTTGCCGGTCAGCCATGCGTTTGGCTGCTTTGGGTTGTTGAATTGATTGCGGCAAGCTGCAAGACCTGCTACAGAGCAGTCAGCCACGTGACATGTTAAGATAACATACTGAAAATGGCGCGATGTAAGTGATATATGATTTTTCTCATCCTGATCGAGTAGCGTGCAGGTTCCTTGTGGTGTCGATGCAACTGGGTTTCGCAATGCTGGAGGTGGGAGGAGTCCGGGAGGCTCATCGAATGACCGTTCTGGCGAAGACTCTTGGTTGAAAGTTATGAAAATTCTAGCATTTTGTCCATTAGAGTCTTGAGTGTATTGCAATGAGAATTATACTGGCAACTGCCTGTGCAACCATTTGCCTACATGTTGTAGGCCGTAGGCTAGCCAACCTTTAGTACTTTAAAACGCCTTTTGCATGTGTGTGTTGGTACATCTCCAGCATTGGGCTCCAGGAATGTCATGGACTCGGTTGTGACCTGCCTGGCCTTTGCTTTGGCAGCGGAATTTCTGGATATGACTCTGGTGCAGGACAAGAACGGATCAAAATCGCTTCTGGGTTGCTATGTCTTAGTACTTATTGTTTTTTTGCACTCCTCACTCCCACTCCCCTTCCTAGTTGTTTCCATCACCTCGCATTTTTTGGTGTTGTTTGGTTTTACGAAAAGTCTTATGTATTTTGGGATGTCCTTTTAGCCAAGCTTTGGCTATGCAAAGCTTGCAGGTATGAAAACCTCCTGTCTATGTGGGCCTTCTGCGCGACCTGTACGACGACCCTTGGTAGATGGAATTGTTGTCAGAGTGAGCACCACGGTTGGTACAGCGACCAACATGGGCCGAGGATTTGCTCGGGGGCGATGGCAGAGCGAGCGCACATGGTGGTGTCACAGTTGCAAGATGGACGGAATGTGGCACCAAGTTGTTTGAGTCAAAGCCCTCAGATGCCATTGCAGCAAAGGGTGCATAAAGTATATAGCCCTATATACTTACCCTTGCTTGGATTGAGATGGCCCTGACCAATTGAGGCATATTTGGCTTATGCGGCGGTGACCTAGAAGCAGAATCATGCCATGAGGAGTGATGTTGGGATTGTCTGTCTGACTGTCTGTCTCAAGGAGTCTACATTTTGTCTCAAGGGCCTCCACATAGGGCTGCGATGGAACCACATACCCAAGGCTAGTCTTAGCAAGTACGTTCGCAAATCGGTTCATGCTAGAAACAGAACTTCAATATCTAGAGCCTTTTTTTGGGGGGGGCAGGTTGTTCACAACTTTGTTGTTTCATGCCTCGTTCCCACCATATCGGGCGAAGCCTTTCCTGTTGCATAAATATCTTGAGAGATCAACTTGTCGGCTGCTCAGGCAGTCTTTTTGCGGAGTAGAGATCATGTTTGGGACATCATGGCCGTCGTGGCCATTGGCTTCAAAGTAGACTTTGGCTCCGTTCCGTTTGCAAGCTTCCAAAAACCCATGATGGGGGAACAATTTGCAGCGCTACACATGCTGTTGCATGGCTCTTATGTTGTCGACGATTCACTCCACATCGGGCTAGTGGTCGGAAATTACTGAGGTGATGGGCAGTGTGGTTTACCCGCCGTTGGCTGAAGGTGTCTGGGGTCGAGGAGGTTTCTTCTACAATCAGCTGCCGCTGGGATTGCACTTGTTCAGACCGAGGATAAACAAATAAAAATCTTTAGAACCCCTCTTCCACCAAATGTCTAGGTAGAGTCATGCAAAATGCTAAATGCAAGGCAGGGTATCCTTTTGCTCCAAGCTGCTGCAGGCATGATCGTTTCCGCACCGGAATCAGCTACCATGACTGTGCGGGAAGCGGTGTAGCTTTTCGGCTGCACATTAGGAGAGCTATGCGATGTTTTTGGCGTCCGAAGTGTGCTTTGACATATTCCGAGATCGATTTATATAAGCTTGGAGTTTGCGACGGAGCAGTGGCTCAATCATTTTGGGTTTCGGTTAGCCAGGCATTGCATTGTCTAGAACAGATTTATCAGGGGCATGTTATTGAATTGACGCCAGCACAAGTACAATCAATGAGTAGGCGGGGAGATTTGGGAAGCTCCACATGTGGACACTGCAAGGATTGGCAAGGAGTAGTAGCAGATGTGAAGTTCTGACGTCTCACGATTCTAATCTGACATGACTCTTAGTGCTCCAATCGGCACTGGACGTTTGCGCTGGGCACTTGTGCCATGGCCGTGACACTGCCAGAGCTTTTGCGTTTTCTTCTCATTGTTGGCGATGTGGCAACATGGATGCAAGTGGTAACCGTACATCATTCATACGTAGGTGCTTGCTTGTCTTGACCTTCAGATGTAAGGTGAGCTTATTGTCGCTCCTGCCGCTGCTCGCGGAGGCCCGACATTCCAAAGGGCAGAATAAGATTGCATTCTGCTTTGAGATGTGTTCATGGCACTCAAGATTTGGCAGGCCAAATTTGGTGCCCTCCTGCGGAAAAAGGGCACCATGGCTGACATTTGGGGAACTGGTCCCTATTCGGGCACCTGTGAAGCCCCCTTTGACCAGAAACCTGCCGAAGTGAATGAGCGCATACAGCGAAGGTGACAAAGATCGTCGACTACCTCCAGCCTGGGCACTACTTCTCTTGCTAGCAACTCGGATGCCTTTGCAATGCCAACGGGTCTATTTGGTCTTCTTGGGCACCGTGCCGAAAGTTTCTCCGCAGTTTTTCACACAGGTGGCAGAGTGCTGGTCTAACTCGGACTTCTTCAACCCTGCCGACAAAAAGGCCATTTGGCTATATATATATTTATCAGAATATATATATATACACATATGTATATACACACATACGTGTGTGGAATCTCAAGGCATTGTGTGATTGCATGCTGTCGGTTGTTGCAGGCTCGGCGAGCAATTGGCGAAGTGGTCAGAGCCCAAGCAAGGGTTGGGAGCTCAGCCGAAACTCTTAGTTTGCGCATTGACTTTCGGCTATGGCATGACGATGCATGAAGTGTGTTCAACTTTTGGTCATTTGCTGAGTCTGGTGCTGGCTTCGAAGAGACAATCAATGGCATCATCAAGCTGTTGGAGAGTTCTGACGTTTACGACGCTTTGTCAAGCAAAGATTTGTCAAGAGTGTGGGCCTTTTGTTTCGGAGTATTTCCACACTCGATGTGTAAAGATCAACACGTGCCAGGCTCTAAACATGTCGCTGCATTATAACTTAGTATTTTGTTTTTTTTGTTTTTTGGTTCCACTGCAAGATCTACGAGGCAATTTGGTCGAAATTTGACTTTGCACCAGTTTATATAGTTTAGGGGCGTGGTGTTCCGCTTTCCGGCCTTAAAAACGAGCTGACACACACACACACACAGATATATATATATATATAGTATATATATATATATGTAGACTTTGTTGTCAGTGGCCGCCGGGAACGCCCTTGCGTTCGGAGCTACCGATGTGAGCCCAGGAACTGACCCGATTGGTGGCCATGATGGGCGGTCTCATCGGAACCGTTTGCATAGCTTCCATGGAGTCTGGCGATCGAGCCTCCCGGAGCGATGGTTCACTTTGGGATATGGATTTATGATGATTTATGTAGCATTTTGCATAGTCATAAGTTATATGCACGCAGGCACTTGACATCCATATAAACCATATTCAGAAAGCAAAGTGCACTGACTGATTGACTGACAGACGGACGGACGGAGGGACTGACTGACTGACTGACTGGCTGGATGGCTGGCTGGCTGACTGACTGACTGACTGACTGACACAGACACACAAACACACACACACTTGGGATAAGAGTTCGCGCGAAGGCCGCCAAATGATGCCTAGAAGGAGCCTAAGCGAAAAACATCCTGAGTAAACAGTAAAAGGGATACTATGCAATGTGGCCCAAACACTGTTCCGCAGAACGCACAACGGATGCAACGGCTGGTTGTCTTGTTCTAGTTAAGAACAGGACCAAGTAGGGAGTAAAAGTCAAAAAGCGCAGGTCCGTGAGGGTGATTAGCCCTGATATCCTACCAAGCTCATGGCGCACGCTCTCGCGCTCTCTCTCTCTCTCTCTTCTTCTTTTTCTTTTCCTTCCCACACGGACACCGCAACTCTCACAGTACCCACATGGGCATGTATACCATACAAGGGTGTTGGAAGGTGTTGGCTCATTTTGCCTGACGTGGAGCTGAGAGAGAACTGGAGTGGCCAAGGTTAAAGCCTTGACAGGTCCGTTGACTGCCTTGGTTCGTGCGATTTGGGCTCCACGAGCCTGGATGCTTCTGCTGCTGCTAGGGCTTTTTGCAGTGGGAAATTGGCAGCTCAGCTGGTCCTCTCGACTCTAGCCAATTTTGTTCCGCGCAGCTGTCGTGGCACTCCTTGTGGCACTTGCACCTTGAGGACAGAGCTGTGCAAGATTGCGCGAAAGCAGCAGGCACACGGAGTGAAACATCTACGGTCATGAGTCATGAATGATGAAGTTATTGAGCTCTTTCAGCTGCCCAGGTGCTGACTGCCCTTGTCAACTCTGCTCCCATGCTGCGGTCTATGTGCTTCGTAGGCGGCGCAACAGGCCTTGGCGTTGTTTGTTCCACTGACAGTAGGGAGGCAGAACAAAGTCTGAGATGCTTTTGCAGGTGCTGCCGACGGACCCATTGCGAGCTGGGCTTTGCTTAGTTGCCTTGCCTGCGTCGCACGTTTGTGCAGGCCTCACCAGATTACCAGTTTCCACATCCATCTCAACCGCTTTGGCAGGCTAGTGTTGTACGAGCAACTGGCACCCTCCACATGGCTGGCTGGAGCAAAGCTGCCAGAGCTGACGCTGCTGACGATGGTGGGCCTCGAAGCATGGCCCAACTCTGAGTTGTACCTGCCACAACACCGCTTGCTTCAAATGCACTTGATTCTTAAGGTGCATCCTGGTGCTGATGCTGTGCCTGCTGAGGCAGCCAGAGTATTTTGGACACGCTTTCCTAGTATGCGTCATTCTTCGTGAACTAGGTCTGTGCAATTTGCGCGACCCGCGGTTCTCAGCGCGACTGCGCAACATGTGGTTCTTTGAAGGCTGATGCCTTGGAGGTAGGGTTGTTTGAAGTCAGGGCAAGTGAACAGGTTTTGCAGCGCTTTACGTGGAAAAGAGGTCCAAAGACACCTATATAGCCTGTGGGACACGCTGCGTTGTAGCCAGACGCTGCCGAGAGAGAGAGAGAGAGAGGGCCTATATATGAGAGATGTAAAATGTGAATATGCAAAAAGGAGGCAAAGGCAAAGGACCCTCTAAATTTAGAGAGGTCTCATTGCAGCGGCCCTTGCCCGGCTTTTTCATCTCTTCTTCTTCTTCTTCTTCTTTTGGACCTTTATAATCCCTTCAGTTTCCACGTCTCTGAGCAGCGAGGCGGCCAGCCAAGCTCCTGACTGTCATGGTGCTTTCAGCGCCTTTAGTAGCTCTTACCGCAGGCTTGCATTTCAAGCTCTATCTTTCCCTCGCTGTGTCTAGGTTTTCTTTTGTCACAGTCCTAGCTGCTTTAACGCACTTTGCGGAGGTGGAGCTTATGCTGCTCCTTTCCAGCCAGCAGTGGTGCCTGCATTGCAGCGCAGTGCGGCTGTTATGACAGCCGTATCCGCGACTAGGCGGCCAGCGGTTTGAGAGGCTGCTGCAATCTAGCCGGGTGCACTGGGGTTTACAATTGACGGCTACAAGATTCACGAGCATCAGAATCAGTGTGCATTCTTCAACTGAGAGAAATGCGCCCATCAGTGTTAAGTTTGGGTAGCCGCACGGTCATGATGCAGCCATCATGTTGTTGTCCAAAGGTGATCTATTCTGAATCAACAGCCTTTGGTTGATGTGGCGATTGTCCAAGGCGATGTTGGTATTCATGGGTGGCTTGCCCACAATGGTTTCAAGCTTCCTTTTGGTGCAGGCTGGACCCAAGAACAACGGCTGCAAGCAAGTGAAGTTTGCTGATCTGCTTCCTCTGCTCAGGCGTTGTACTTCATCCATGGCATTGACAATGCCAAGCTTTGACCGGCCTATGTGCCGGCCATTGCAGAGAGAAACAGAGTCGGAACTCGCATGAGTCGAAAATGGGTGCCCGGTGGAGGAGGCGGAGCAGCTAAACATATTTTGCCGTTTTCGCTACGTCTCAAGCCGACGGAGCATGTGGACGGTCTTGGACTCTATGTCCCTGTAGTCGGAATCAGGATGGTTAGGTAGGTTGGCATGTTTTTTTTTAAACTGCAACAACGGCTCCCACCTCTTGCCCAGCTGCAGCCCTCACAGCTCTCAGGTTCATTTGACTGGAGGCTGTGCAGCCTTCACTGGCTGCCTTTTACTGGGTCGACGAATCATGTGCCGTGAGCTGGAGCCGTGCCCTGTCAAGATACTTGTATTTACTGTAGCCTATTGTTTTCGCAAACATGCAAATGGACCAATTAGAAAATGCATTTTGAGTTGCCGCCTTGTCATCGAAAGACCAGCGAGCAACCAAGGGATGATGATGGCTCCTAGCCAGCAAGTCAGAGGAGGTGAAAGGAAGAAATGGAACACCTTTGAAACACAGTGTTCCTTTGGTCTTTCTGGCCTCATTAAAGTAGTTCTACCGTCATGGGGACATGTGTCATTGTAGCACGTAATGCTCCCAAGGTCATTGGATGGACCCTGAAGCAGCCAAAGAGGAGGACTTACGAACACCTGCACAGAACCCGGGTTTGGCTGGTCGTCCGACACTCTGCGATATTGATGTGTACAATGCCACCTGTGAAGCAGCCTTCACCCTCCCACGTAAATGCGATTACGAGGAGAACCCGAAAGGCAACTGGCAGAGACGTTTTGATGACGAGGCATGAACGAAGAGATTTCATGGGGACATGCTCGCTCTCCAAGTTGCAGTGCCAAGCGTCTCCAACTTAACTTGGGTTAAGGGTAGTGGTGATCCTGGTGTTGCATGTTGGCAATAGATATGGTTCCGAATGATTCCAAGCTCGAGTTCAATTCATCAGCTGGCCTAATAAGTCCTGGACACAGGAGTGTTACGGGATAATCTTGCTGGCACGCCTTGGACAGGCCAGAGACAAACTGGAGTTTCAGACTTGTAGCTATCTACAGGTCATGGGCTTCTTGGCTTTGTTTACTCGTAAGAGGTCTTGCCAGGGATGCTCGTAAGCTGGATGGACAACACCACACCCAATCTTTGCACGTCACATGTTGCCAAGCTCAGAGATACATGGTACATATGTATTCCCCTTTCGATAAACACAAGTTATGAATTGCCACATGCTTAGTACAGAAGTCAGGCAAGCACGACTCTTTTTCAATCCATATCGATGAGTATATTGGGGTCATATGCCAAAGGCAGAATCATAGGCAGCGAGAGAGGGGGATAGATAGATAGATAGATAGATAGATAGATAGAGAGAGAGAGAGAGAGACAGAAAGAAAGAAAGAAAGACAGAAAGAAAGAAAGAAAGACAGAAAGAAGGAAAGAAAGAAAGCAAGCAAGCAAGCAAGAAAGAAAGAAAGACAAAAACAAGTTGGAGCCCACGAACCCGAATGCAAACATGTATGTCAATCCACTGTGTATAGAAAGAGACACAGCCGGTTAGAGTCTCTTTTTCACGCTCCGGCACGCTGTTGGACATCATGCGCTGGGGACTCCACCACCAAGGCAGCATGTGCTGGGGACTTCACCACCAAGCTCTGTCTTCGCCATGAAGGGTCTTCATTTTGTATTCAAATCAAGCACTGGCGTAAAGGTTGTGGCAGATCCACAGCACGAAAAAACAATGGCATTGTCCCAAAATCTCGAAAATAAGCACTTGAAAGTGATAACCGTCCACATAATACAGAGAAATCCACAACTGCGGCGTCTGGTCTTCTTGTAAATAGGAGTGCAAGACCGTGCGTTGTTGTGTCTCACCTGCATCAACAAGAAGTATATGAGACACACGCAACGGAAGTGAGTAAAACAACCCTAGGACATCCCATTATTCCAACATTCGTATGAATTTTTCGTACACACGAGCCCGAAAGGAGATGAATTATATACAATTCTAAACGTTTTTGGATGTGTCACCAGGGCCTCGAACAACAGACGTCTGGGTCCAAGTATTTCCAGCAATGATGAAGCCAAGATTGAGCTCTGTGGCCAAAGCTACATATGTCCAAATGACACTCTTGTAGGGCACTCTTGTGGGACACTCTTCTGGGACACTCTTGTGGGTCACTCTTACGCGACACTCTTGTGGGTCACTCTTGTAGGAAGCTCTTGTGGGATACTCTTGTGGGTCACTCTTATGCGACGCTCTTGTAGGACATTCTTGTAAGGGCATTCTTGTAGGACACTCTTGTGAGACACTCTTGTAGGACACTCTTGTGGGTCACTCTTACAGGACACTCTTGTGGGATCCTCTTGTGGGACACTCTTGTAGGACACTCTTGTAGGACACCCTTGTGGGACACTCTTCTGTGACACTCTTGTAGGAAACTCTTTTGGGACACTCTTGTAGGACACTCTTGTGGGACACTCTTATCGGACACTCTTGTGGGACACTCTTGTAGGACACTCTTGTAGGACACTCTTGCGGGACACTCTTGTAGGACAGTCTTGTGGGACACTCTTGTGGGACACTCTTGTGGGACACTCTTGTAGGACACTCTTGTGGGACACTCTTGTAGGACACTCTTGTGGGACATCCTTGTGGGACACTCTTGTGGGACACTCTTGTAGGAAACTGTTGTGGGACACTCTTGAAGGAAACTCTTGTGGGACACTCTTGTAGGACACTCTTGTGGGACACTCTTGTAGGGCACTCTTGCGGGACACTCTTGTGGGACACTCTTGCAGGACTCTTGTGGGACACTCTTGTAGGACACTCTTGTGGGACACTCATATACACACTCTTGTGGGACACTCTGAAGGGACACTCTTGTGAGACACTCTTGTGGGACACTCATATAGGACACTCTTGTGGGACACTCTGAAGGGACACTCTTGTGAGACACTCTTGTGGGACAGTTGCGGGACACTCTTGTAGGACACTCTTGTGGGACACTCTTGTGGGACACTCTTGTGGGACACTCTTGTAGGAAACTCTTGTGGGACACTCTTGTAGGACAGCAATCTTCTAGGACACTCGTATGGGACACTCTTGTCGGACATTCTTGTAGGACACTCTTGTGAGACACTCTTATAGGACACTCTTGTAGGACACTCTTGCGGGACACCCTTGTGAGACACTCTTGTGGGACACTCTTGTAGGGCACTCTTGTGGGACACTCTTGTAGGACACTCTTGTGGGACACTCTTAGGCTTAGGGACACTCTTGTGGGACACTCTTGTGGGACACGGTTGCGGGACACTCTTGTGGGACCCTCATACGGGACACTCTTGTGGGACACTCTATCTGGGACAGTCTTGTAGGGCACACGCTTCGAGGCTGCAAGACGAGCGTTTCGTACGAGACTTCCTCCAAAAGTCACACGTCAAGTCTCCAAAACGAGCGTTTCGTACGAGACTTCCTCCAAAAAGTCAAGCGGAAACACCAAGCAGTTTCGCGATTCCAGCCCCTCCAAACAACACCCGCTCACACGCCAATCCCAATGTGACAGCGATATTCACCTCTGCGCAACTCACAACCTCACGATTCCCTGCGCCTGCCAGGAATCTTTCCGCGTCCACACGTCTAACGCGCGCAAAGTACTGCGCCTGCAACGAAATGTGACCTCCGTCACACCTCGCAACCTCACGATTTCCTGCGCCTACCACAAGAATCGCACTTCCACACATCAAAAGCCGCACAAAGTACTGCGCCTGCCACGAAAAGTGGCAATATCATCTCATGTGAGCTTCAACAAAATTTGCACCACACCACACGTTTGGTATGATTTCGACCCGTTCTGAGCATACTCCCATCCACCAAAATCGGCATTTCAGCTGAGACTTGTCACGAAAACAGAGCTTCGATGCCAGACCCGGAAACGCAAATCCCAATGGCACGGCCACATCCAACACCCCAAAAACACGACTCTCCAAACGCTAATCCCAATGGAACTGCGCAGCAATCTGCAGATCTCACCAAACGCTGCGCCTGTGCAGCGAGACGCATCACGTTGCTTGCGCGACATGTCTTTTTCATGCAAATCACTAGCGGCGCAAACTGACACGTGACACATCCATGAACAGTCACTTGCAAAAGCTTCCCCCAATGGCAGCGCCTTAGCGCTCTACCGCGAACGGTTGCGAACGGTTGCGAACGGTTGCGGACGGTTGCGGACGGTTGCGGACGTAGAAACAACGGATCGCGAACAAGGCTCTACCCCCAGACCCCCAAGAGTTAAACGAGAACCCTTCGCTACGCATTCGGGAATAAATAAATAAAGAAAGAAAGACAGAAAGAAAGAAATAAAGAAAAAACAAAGAAAACAAGAAATAAAGCAAGAACAAAAGAAAGAAAGAACGAAAGAAAGAAAGAAAAACATAAATAAAGAACGAGGGGGGAGGGAGCCAGGGAAGGAGGATGGATTGATCGATGGATGGATGGATGGAGGGAGAGAGGTGGGGGAGTATGAGTATGTGAAGACTGTTGCATGCGAAGAAGTCAAGCACCGCTGAGGCATGTTTACCTTGTGGGTTGGTTGGTATGGCTTCAATGCTGGGCATCTAGGCTGCAAGAAAGCTGTGGCGCCTCGAGATACGCACTCTTCATGTTCTGGGCCTTCAATGTTGCACCTGAGGTCAGTCCTGTCTTTGGATCCGACTGGCCAACTAGCAGCTTGGCCCCAGAGCCTGCACTCTACAAACAAGAACTGAGCCAGTTGGGCTGGTGTGCTGTTGTTGTGCACAGGCTGGCATGGTCTCCTGGAACACCACAGTCGCCGGCTCGGCGGCTGGGCTTGGAGCCTGCCTCTATCTCTATGGTTTTCATTTGATACTTGGTGCTGTACTCTTAGGTCAGGGGGCTCCTGCTAGGGAGATAAGGAAGCTGTACTGTAGCGGTTTGTGCTAGGTCAGTGTCACCCTGGAACATCCTAATAGGTTTTAGTAGCGGTGAGTAGTGATCAGGTTGCATTGAGGTTGACTTCAGGTTGAAGGCCTGCAGTCCATGTGAATTCGAAGAGATATCTCTTGCGCCCAAGCCGAGGAACTTGGATGTAGGCGGGCGGGTGCATTAAAAGTCTTGTTTCCCATGGCGTGCTTGCGGAAGTGATGCATGTCTCTCCGCAGGCTTTCTGTGCAATGGAGTCGCGTGCTTGGCTTGAGTCGCAAGGTGTTCTCATGAACGAATATTTGTTCACAAGGCCAGCTTGCTCGGACCACCGCCTTTTCCACGGAGACCACATAACTATTGCAGACTGTTGGTTAATGACACCTTCCCACTTGGATTACAGAACATCTCTGCATGGGGGTTTAATTCATCAAAAGTCTACATTATTTGGTTTGAGGTTTTGAGTGGCCTAGTGGCTGTTACCGCCTCCTGTGATGTGGCCACATCCACAGCCGCGATTGTTATCGGCTTGCTGAGCGGCTTGGTGGTGCCTCGGAAGCAGTGTTGCCACTACAGACAACTACATATGCAGGCTGCAGGCGCATGTAAGCGGTGGCACGCAGTGCAGACAAACGAGTTTTTCTAAACAAGACCTTTTTGCATGCTCTGAGTGTAACTATTGGTGGCGTGAGCTTGGAGCCAACTGCTTGCAATGGCGACCGCTGTACACGGGCAATGGGAGGAAAGGAGTTGAATCAGCTAGAGAAGAGATAGAGTGGAGGCATCCACAGAATCTGTTCGTGTCATGGGCTCCTGACTGGGTGTAAGGCTGAAACAAAGCCTCAAAGTGTAAGGCTGAAAAAGGGTGTAAGGCTCCTGACTAGGTGTAGTGGTCCTGGCTCTTATGTGAGTCTATGCGCAGGCATTGCAACAGCCACAGCCATGGCGCAGTTTCTGAGGTCTACCCGACTTGCTCTGGGCTGATGCAGTGGGCCCGCATTGATGACCCAGTCGATGCCGTTGCAGTGCATGCAGGGCTTGGAGCTTGGGCATGGACGGGAGGGGCCCTTTTTGACAGCGGCAATTGCCCTCACTAAATTGATCAGGTCAGGCTTCTTCGGTACCTTGGCACACACCGGTCCTTTGCATTGCTTTGTTGCCACATTGTTTTGTTGCCTGGTTGTAAGAAGACTGAGGCGTGGTGGCCACGGCGTTTTGCACTCCACATTGTGACAAGTTGAGGGCAGCCGGAATCTGAGGAGCTGTGCCTAGTGACCTAGTGACTTGCCACTCTGTCTGCCTTCTGAGTCGGCAGACGCTTCACAGAGTTCCGATGGTTTGCCTTTTGAGCTGCACGAGCCGCCTTCTTGTCTGTCTCAAGGGGTGTCACTTTGAGTTCACTGCGCCATACTGCGCCTCGCCTCGGCGCCCAATTTGGTGCCATGGAAGTTGCTAGCCTTCCCTGGAAGCTCAAGCCCCTGACCTGCATCACCTGCGGCCTGATCACTGTAGGTCTCTTGTTGCCCCTCTTAGTGGCTCTTCCGGTGACGAAGCCATTTCGAAAGGAGATCATTGGGCTTTCGTGTGTCCTGCTCTTCGTAGGAACTTTGGCACGGGTGAGACTAGAAAGATGTCGCATGGAGCTGTTGCAAACTGTGAAGAACCTTGGCTGCTTGGCAAGCTTTGCTTGGCTTTGCTCGAAGAACCTTGTTGGGCGTTTTAAAGATTAACAAGCGAGGCGTCACGTTGAGGCCGAGCTTCAAGAGCACGTCTCTACATAGCTGAGAACAATCGACCAATGGCGTTTTCATGTTCCATGTTTGGCATTTTGACGAGCCAGTTTTTCATCCAAACAAGCTAACACGCCGTAACAATCAAGCCATGCCATCAGGTCAGTAGGCATAGAGCAACAGTAATTTGGCCCAGGGGGGTTGATCATGTTTGATCCATAGCATGCTTCGATTGGAAAGGACATGAAACATCTCAGTCCGAGTTCCGATGTCGTTGTCCTGCTTAGGAAGCGGGAGGTGAAGAGACGCTTGTGGGCATCGGCGGCTTTCGATTCTCGGCTGAGCTTGTGGTGTCCAACATTGGCCGTTGCTCCCAACGTCAGTCGCTACACTCTTAAACACACATACACACCCGGGATAATTCGTGTGGAACTGAAGGCCACTTGCCACAGGCCCACCTACGTATGAAAACTTAAGAAATCAGGGTAACAGTGTGTAGGACGGCTTGGCCATGAGTGAAACCTCCGTGAAAACCTCCAAGAACCCACAAAGTCTGAAAGAAGGGCGAGCACTTGTTTGCAGATCTCAAACCGATGCAATGGCCTGTGACTTAGTTCTAGTGACAAAGAGGCCTAGCGGGAAGTCAATGGTACTCACTGCAGGTACGTCTGGCTGATCAGGCCAGATATCTGCGTGGAGCTTGACCCTCTTCATTGGATCACCAGTCAAGTCCGTGGGTGATCCTCCTTTTTGAAAAACCGACAGGTTCCCTTTGACTCCAAGGGCTTCACACACACACACACACCCGTAGAGGGGGTCAAGATCGAGGACTAGGGCCCAGTCCCAGACTGAAGTGTGGTTGTGCACGCGCAGAGGGCAAACAGATGCAGGCATGAGAGGGGGACAAGACAGACAAAATGTATGGCTTGACCTTTTTCGTTGGATCACCGGTCAAGTCCGTGGGTGATCCTGCTGCTTGAAAATCCCACCGGCTCCCTTTGACTCCAAGGGCTACACACACACAGGCACTCGGGAAAATATGCATCGGTGGAATTAGAAACAGTTGAATACAAAAAACAAAGTTACATCTTCCTGAGTCAGATTCTGTAGCATTTCTGGTATTTGTACAGTGTGTATTTGTTCGTAGTGCGGACAACTCAACATGTGATGTAGCTTCACAGCATCCTGTTCAATTCCCCATTCCTTTTGCGCTGATCACTCCGATCTTCGCTGATCCAAGGAGGATTTGGATGCTTTTGAGTTGGAGTTCCACTGCATGCACATCCATCCTGGAGATAAGCCGCGCAGAGACATTCTAGAGAAAGCGTGCCTCGGTAACATTTTCAGCAAAGATATTTTGCGCTTGTGTTGAGCCATGTTGAACCTTTGTTACATCGTTTTCGCAAAGTCAATCTGTACGACACCCTTTCTGCCTGATCTGAGAGGTCCGTCTTGGAGTCACGCTTATCACTTGCAACGCAGAAGACGTGCCTGTGCTGCCTTGAAGAGTTTGAGGTTTCCAATCGTGTGGCCGTTCTGCCGTGTGGCCATGTCTTTGACGAGGTGGGCCAGCCGACCAAAGCGGCTCAAAGCGAGTATATAGTATAATACTGTAGACTGTAGATGTGTGTTTCGGGTGGGGGGTTTGTTTAAGGGGCGAATTGGGGGCAAGTTACTGAATCGCAATTTTGGCAGCTTCTTGAAACTCTTCCAAACGGGGCTGGGCCTCGCCCTGAAGGATTGTATCCTTGAATGGTCTGCCTCCCGTCGACGAGCCTCGCGAACCTGTCCGATTTGTCGAGCCAACTTTGCAGTGGTGTAATGTTAGAACTGGGCCTTTAGGGGAGCCTCGTTTCAAGTTACAGTCTGCCTCAACCTGGGTGGAGGGTTAGCAGACTGCAAAAGAACTTGTGCAGATGGCGCAGCTAGACGTTGCATCAATTGGGCCCTCACGTGTGGCAGAAGCCTCGCAGTGACTCCTCGATGGTGCCAAAGTTGCGCACAGCAATTCGAACGGCAAGCAGGGAGTAAAGATCACCTAGCTGCCCAAGTGGTGCTACCAAGTTGCAAAGCAACTGGTTGGCCCGTAGCCAGTCAAGCCGGCCGATGTGTGAAATATCTTGAAGAACAGCCACATCCGTGGAAGACACAGTTTTGGAGGCCAGATTCGTGCTTGGCCTGTTTTCTGAGACTTCAAGACGATTCACAACAAACTTCGCCTGGCTTGGTAGCCTTTTAGAAGGAAATGGGGTGGCTCTTCACTACAGTATATAAGTTTCTAATGTCTTACTTGATGACTCTATTAGAGCACTGGAGCATTCAGTAAGAAGATGCAATCCATGGGAACGAGGTTGCTGAATCAGGCAATCCTCGCTGACTTCATCAGTTTCGATGCATCAAACGATGCTGCATGTGGCACAATGCCCTGCACCAGGCCCCCCCACGACTGATCGAATGATGCAAAGTGTGGGGTGTGTGAGGTGCAAGCTGTAAACCAAGAGCTGTGCAGTGGGCTCACCGAGCGTGATCTGCAATCCTGGGGGAGAAAAGCGATTGCTAAGGCGCATGCTTGTCGATGATTTCTCTTGGTGTTTGAAACTTGATGGCCGCCCATTGATGGCCTCAAGAAAGGTAGGATCATTTTGCAAATTCACTTCTGTGCCATCCTCTGATGGACCCAGGCTGGTGCGCTTTATGGACCCCAGGCTGCACAATGTATATAGTAGCTGCTTTGCGGTTGACCGAGCTGCTTTGCAATGTGTAGGCAGAGTTTTGCTCCGAAGCGCACTCACTGGTCGGGCAGCTGGAGATACAGCTTTGGGGTGGCTCGGCGGCAGCTGGTAATATTGGGGTTCTATTGCATGAGGCTTTGTTTTGCATATTAGGTGTGGGAAGCTTGCAGCAAATTCTGGTATATAATTGTTTGGATGCTTTGCAAAGCTTCAGGTGCTTTTTTGATAATTGTTTGGGCATTTTTGCTCTTTGGCTGCAAGATTCAGCTCGTGCATTTTTGGATGGCGGCTTGGAGCATTGCAAAGGGAGAATCAAGAGCCCTGTTCAAGCCAAACAGAGTCGCTCTCAGGGTAGCATCATAAAGTCACAATATCAGATGACTTTGACGGAGTGAAATCTATGAAACCTCATGTAAGCCCTCGACAGAAGCATTGCCATTTTCTTCGCTTTTGCGAGCAAGGTTTGCCCATGTGAAGGTAATGTGCGGATTGTCAAACTCTCTCCATTGCATGTCGGGAGAGAAGGGGAGGGGAGAGGGAGAGGGAGAGGGAGAGGGAGAGGGAGAGGGAGAGGGATGTAAAGTTTCAGGCTGAGGTCCGGACACTTGTTGTCACTTGTCTAATGCTGTCTGTATGCATCAGGTGTATGCGGACTTTATTTCTTGAGCCAAAGCATGTTGAATGCTCTCCCTTGTTGGGACTTGCTGTACAAGGTGTTGTTTTACACCGTCCCTTGGTTAGCGCAATGTATTGTGCTCACCACACTGTTCGCATCTTTGAGGATTTCTGTGCACTTTACAACTGTTGCACAGACCAAAGGTGTTGTCTGCTTTTACAGCAGCTTACACCTGTTGATCGAGGCTAACAGACCTCAAGTTTAGAGTCTAGAGTTTAGACTACCAGTTGCTCTCCACAGCTTCTTTTCTGCCAGTCATTTTCAGTCTTCCACTTGGACAGTCTCCTCTGTCGTGATCTTTTCTCACTTTGCAGGAAACTCTTCAGTTTCCAAATGCTAATGTTCCTCTTTATTGTTGAGGACATAGGTGAGGTGATGCTCATGCCCCCTTCGCCTTTCCGGATCCTGGGTTCCCGGATGAGTCACATACTGGTTGGATGCTGAGCTCTGCCTCATTGACTGCCAGGAAGAGTGTTGTCCCAGTCTTCAGGCTGAGACTCCCTTCATTGGCACACTTTGGGTGGATGACTTCTACGGTTGCCTTCGATGGCATTGGGATCACGGGTATGTTGGGATTCATGGACAACATGACGTTGCCAATCACCCTTTCGATAGTGTGAAAGTTCACATGTTCGAGAGCCTCCTGTTGGAATCTCTCATCGCTGATCACAGCTGCCATTTCACTGTCACTTGCTGCCATTTCTCTTTGGCAAAAAATGCTGGCCACTAAAACAAGGCCACAAGAGCTGCGGGGAAAACAAGATCTCAAATTGGTGCATGCATGAAAGATCACTGTTGCCAACTTGTTCCAGTTGGCTCTCATTCCTTTCGAGATCATTGTCGCCAACCCGTTGTTGGCTCTCAGCAAAAATTGAAACACAGGTGCCAAGCAAGGAATTCAGCTCTGAACTCCGTGGTGTCATAAGACGCCGTTCCAACATTTGTTGGAAGTGCTATGGAGCAAAACAAGGTACGGGTGCGTGCACGTGTTGCGCTCACGAGTGTGTGGTGCTGGGTGAAACTGTTTGCGCCGGCTAGTTGTTTAATGGTGCTGTCGATCCAGGAGACCGACTGCCTGCAAGTTCCGAAGGAGTGTTTCCAAGGACACGTGCTTGGTGAAAATGTCTGCTCTGTTCTCATTTGTTCTGATCTTGTGAATCTGTAGCACGTTTGCTTGTACAAGCTGTTGGATGAAGAGGTATTTGAGGTCAATGTGCTTTGCTTTCTTAGAGCTGCCAATCCTTGTTGGAATTGACTTGCCTGCTGATGAGTCGGTGCAGAGTGTGAGTGTGATCTTAGTGCTGTGGAATGTCTCGGTAAGGAAGTGGTATATGTGAAGTGACTCTGTTGCTCCTGTTCCCATAGCATAGAGTTCGCTTTCTGCGCTGCTTAGCGCAACTGTTGCTTGTGTTCTGCTGCCGTAGTGTACACATGTTCCGAGTACGAAGACGCAAAACCTGTTGTGCTTCTTCTTGTTGTTGGGCATCCAGCCCAGTTTGCGTCAACGTGCGTGACAAGTTTGATTTCTGTGATGTCGTTTGTGACTCTTGCTGTTGGCTGTACCATGAATCTGTACTCCTGTGTGCCTTTGATTTATCGGATAAGGTGCTTCAGCTTCTTCTGGTCATGTGTTGTAGGTTTGTTTAGCGCTCGCGCCAACTCCTTTGTTGCATAGCTGATGTCAGGTCGGGTGTATTTCAACCATTGCAGTTTGCCAACCATTCGTTGGTATGTTTTGCGCGCCTGTGTGTCGAGTTCTGCCTCGTGCTCATCTGCTGCCTTCAGGGATGCCGTCCCTGGAGTTGCTGCCGGGTTGCAATCGATCATTTTGGTCGTTTGCTAAGTATATAGATCTCAAAGTGTGTTCCTTGGTGTTGGATGTTTCTGCCAAGAAATGAGACTGTTTGTCCCATTGTGAGGTCACCTGTTGGTCGTAGTAACAGATGTTGAGCGTGTCCACTGTGACCGTGGTCCGAGAAACAGCAGGTCGCCGACGTAGACTTGTATGTAAACTGTTGCTGAAGATGTTGCTCCTGCTGTTTTGTATACATTTGGTTCTGTTTTCAGTCGTGTAAGGCCCAATGTGTGTTGCAAAATGTCTGCCAGGTGATCTTGCCATGCTTTTGGCGACGACCGGAGTCCATAGATCGCCTTGTTGAGCTTCCAAACGATGTTGTCCGCCGCGTTGTAGAATTCCTTTGGAGGCCACATTGACATAAACGGCGCCGCTGTTGCTGCTGCAGCATGTAAGAATGCTGTTGAAATGTCGCCTGTTCTCACTGACCAGTTGAAGGTAAGAGCTAGTGCTAAAAGAAATACTATTCTTGCTCTCACCTCGTTGCTCTTGGGCCGTAGAACCCACTTAGACTCTATGATTTCTAGTTGTTGCTGTGGCGTGAGGTCATCGTAGTGAACCTCGTCGTAGACCCGTTGACCTTTGATGGAGGACAACGAGAGACAAACAGAAAAGATTCTCCTAGAACCCATGGGACCCATAGTCCAAGACACCGAAGGACTAGACAAGGAGAAGACCATCAAAGGAATGAAACACGAAATGGCGTCTTCGTTGGAGGTTGTGGTGATTGTTTCTCCTTTCTTTGTTCTTACCGTGGTGGCTGAGATGCGCTGTCGTTGCGTTTCTGGTTCTGTGTCAGGTCTCTCAAAGTTAACTCGTGCGGCGGTGGTTCGAGTCTGCTTGGTCGTGCTGCCTTCTTCGAGTTCTCCTGTGAATGCGCGTTTCTTTGGTGGTGCCAAAGGTTCTGCCGCTTGCGATGGCCGTGCTGCCTGTGGTGGCATTGGCAGCGCTGGTCGTTGTTGCGCTGTCGAAGGTGATGTTGCCAACGGTACATCCGTAATTGGGCCGCCTTTTGTGGACCTTGGCTGTTTCTCTGCCTGTGGTGTTGCTGCAGGCTCCTGAGTGTCTACTGTCTGCGTCCCTGCAGTGGATTGCTTTGCTGTTGTTCCGTGCTGTGGTTGTGCTGTTGGTACTTGTAGGCGCACTGCTGGCGCTATGGACGCGGGTGTCCATGGATAGGCGTTGATCGCATCCAAGAGTTGCTTGTCAAAGTTGTTTGGTGAGATGAGTCGTCTCACTGTTCTTGCACCTTGTTGGTGGTGCCGATGATGTGTTCGTTTGTTGCTGTATCCTTGCCCAGCCAAATACCCTTGAAGAACCGTTGCTCGAGTTTCGGTAGTGCTTTTGTTGTTGGTATCATGTACTGTACTGTTTCTCCAAAGACGCATAGCGGTGTTTTGTGCTGTTCCAGCGTCTAGAGAAGCTGGTGTTGCCATCGTTGTGTACTTGGTACCTGTTGAGGAGGTGTGCCGCTGCCGCATGCCTGACCATCCAAGGCATCAGTGGCTGATCGCTGCTGATCGCCCGTTCGTAGTTGTTCTGTAACTGTGCTCGCAGTGTTCTGATCTGACCGACCAGTGTTCTGTGTGGGCGTTAGACGCTGCCTTGTGACTGTGAGCTGTATGCGGGCGCCTGCCTGATGCCATTTGTTGCCTGAGTGACGTTGAGCTGCAGATGTTCTGGTAGTGGAACAACTGTTGCGTGTAGGTAGTAGAGGTTGTCTCTCTGTGTGAGAATTGCGCTGAAACCTTTCCTGTGCGTGATGCTAGGTGTGTCGTTGAACTGTAATTCGAAGCCTTGCTCTGCCAGCCGTGTTACGGACAAAATGGGTTGGTGAACGTTGCACACGTAGAAGGGAATCACAATGGACTGCTTGTTGACGTTCTGCATGTAGACCCACTTGTAGCCATAGAGCTGGATATCGCTATTGGTCACTGACCTGAGTTTTGGTCCTGGGCCTGCCGTGAGTGAGTACAGTGGTGTGTTGGGCGCAAACCACGGTGGACATACGTGTGTCGCATCAAGTGTGTCCGTGTTGCTTCACGCTGTTCCGTACTTTGCTTGCTGCGGAGGCGTTGTCTGCGTGGGCGCTGGTGGCATGGTGGTCACTGCTTGTATTGGCGTTGGAGCTGGGAGCGCTAGCTGTTGCTGTGATTGTATGTCGCTGTTCCACCATTGTGCATCATATGTGTGCTGTTGCTCATACCATGCTGCTGTTGGGTCATATGATGCCGCTGTTGCATCTTCCATGTGAGGCACTGGTACTTGCTTGCCTTTTGCCTTTCCCTTCGCCTTACCTTTGTTGAATGGCTGCTGTGTGTTGTAATGTTGTATGTTTTCCTTTTGCCTTTGCTGTATCCTCCGTACCCTTTGCTTCCTTTGTATATATTGTCCAGTGTTATACTTCCCTTTCCTTTGTTGCCATATCCCTTCCCTTTGTTTCCTTTTCCTTTTCCGATGCCGCCCACACCCATTGGTGCTGCTCCTCCGCCAAAGTTGGTGCCAACACTGGAGGATGCTGCCTGCTTGCTTGCTTGCTTGCTTGCTTGCTTGCTTGCTTGCTTGCGTTTGCTGTTGCATTCTGCTAAACGCCGTGATGGAGCGGTAGTACTCCATAATTGTGTCCCTCAGCTCTGGGTATGTTGGATTTGTGCCGGATTGTAGTTGCAGATGTTGCTGTAGTGGTCCCTTAGTCTCGTTGAGAAGGACGGCTA